TTAAGAATAACCACTTTAGCCAAACACCCCTACGCTTTTAAGTATTTGTAGGATGATACTCTCCTATGCCACATGTCAAAAGGTGTTTGATTTACTTTCTTTCAGGGTATTGTATTAAGAATATAATTAGCAGAGAGTATTGCTTTCCCCCACAAGTTCTGAGGTAATCCAGAACTTATTAACATGACATTCATCGTTTTTTTTAAAGTCCTATTTTTCCTTTTAGTAATTTCATTTTGTTGAAGTGAGTATGGAGCGGTGGTTTGATGAATTATTCCATGTTCTTTACAAAACTCACCAAAAGGTGATTCATATTCATTACTTTTATCACTTCTTAGTTTTTTAATTTTCTTACCGAGTTGATTTTCAATTTCATTCTTATATTGAATTAAATATACATAACTATATTTAGTATAGTTATCTATGAAAGTGATAACATATTTTTTCCCACCTCTAGTTTGAATTGATTTAAAATCACAAATGTCATTATAAATTAATTCAAGTGGCTTCGTCCTTCGTTCAGTTGCATGAAAAGGAGTTTTACTTAATTTTGCCTCAACACAAATTTCACATTTATGATTTAAATCAATATCAAATTTAAGTAAACATTTCATATTAATTAATCTACGCAAAGATCCATAATTAACATATCCTAATCTACCATGCCATAAATTTGAAGACTTAAACAAGTAAGAAGAAGATATATTATTATTATTAACAGATGGGACAATAGTCATTACATTTAGTTTGAAAAGGCCATCAGACATGTAACTTTTTCTTACATACATCCCGTTTTTGATAAGTACAAACTTATCACTTTCAAAAACTAGCCTAAACCTATTTTTACTCAATAGAGATCCAGAAACAAGATTCTTGCGAATGTCTGGTGCATGCAGCACATTGTTGAAAGTGAGTTCCTTTTCAGATTTCATCTTTAGAATAATCTTTCCCTGTCCTTCAACTTTAGAAGTCAAGGAGTTGCCCATAAAAAGTTATTTGCTGTTGTCTACCACAGAATAAGATGTGAACATCTTTTTGTCGGCATAGATGTAGCGAGTAGCACCAGTGTCCACCCATCATTCTTTAGGATTTTCGACAATGTTTGCCTCAGAGACAACTATAGAAAGATTTATGTCATCTACACCATTGGAAATTTTGTCCACTTAAGTTATATTGGCTTGAGCAGACTTCTTACTTGATCTTCCTTTGTCTTTTGCACTTGCTACGGCAATCTTTGGCCCGATGTCCCTCTTTGTTACAGATGTAACATTTGCCATTAAACTTGTACTTCTTAGTTTTCCCTCCTTTAGAGCCTTGTGCGGAACTTTCACCAGAATACTTTCGTTTCTTTGTTTTTGGAGCATGTTCCACCACATTTGCTTTAGACTTTATTGGATGCTTATCAGCCCGCTTCTTAGAATTGCGATTGTCCTCCTCAATCCTCAAACGCACAATCAATTCCTCCAAAGTCATTTCTTTGCACTCGTGTTTGAGGTAGTTCTTGAATTCCTTCCAGTCTTGTAGTAATTTTTCAATTAAAGCAGCAACTTGGAAGGATTCACTGAGAGATATGCCTTCTGCATGAATGTCATGCAGAATGAGTTGGTGATCTTGAACTTGACTGATCACAGTCTTAGAATCAGTCATCACAAAATCCAAAAATTTGCCAATCACAAATTTCTACGAGCCAGTATCTTCTGTTTTGTACGTTTTCTCCAAAGACTCCCAAAGTTTCTTTGTCGTCTTGATAGGGCTATAGACGTTGTACAATGTGTTATCAAGCCCGTTCAAAATGTAGTTTCGAAAAAGGAAGTCAGCATGTTTCTAGGCATCGACTGCAGCAAGCACTTATCTGTTGGTTTCATCTTTTTTCAGAGTAGGAGCATTATCACGGAGGAAACGCGCCAGGTTAAGAGTAGTAAGATAGAATAACATTTTCTGCTACCATCTTTTAAAACCAATTCCTAAGAACTTCTCTGGCTTTTCACCATAATTGACTGGCACAATCACAACAGGAAAGGGGGTTGGAGCAATTGCAGTCACCATACCAGTATTAGTTTGACTGGTTTCAGTAGCCATGAATTCTAAATTATAAAACAAAATTAGAATTAGAATTTTTATTCTACACAGAAAATTTAAACCATAAATACAGAATTCAATTCTATAAAAATAAAAGAAATAAGAATTGTAACTTTTATTTTCAGTTAATTTGAAAATAAAATTTTATTTAAACAAATTAATTCCACACAGAAAAATATTTATATAACACTTCCAAAATTAAAATATTGAAAACAAAATTTTAATTAATGAAAACTTAGAAATTATTTCTGAAAATCAAAATTAATTTTTGACCAACTTTACAAATGATTATTCTGCAATTGTTAATGATAACCAGTATATTACTACTAGTTGTCAAAGAAAATAAACAGTATACTACTACTATTTGTCAAATAATATATTACTAATATTTATATTTTCTAACCAGAATATTAATTTGTGTAAACACAGAAAATAATTTATGTAAGAAGAAGAAAGGAAGAAAAGAAAACAAACGAAAAATTCTGTATAAATAGAATAATTCAAATATGTCTTAAAATTATTGGAACAATCTTCTATGTAAACTAAATAAATTGAACAAATCAAAAAAATAAAAATAAATTACTTATAGAATTTACTTATCGAAACAACTTAACAATAAAAATGATCAAGTCGAGTGTGTGATACTTTGTTCTTAAGATAGATTCGTCCTGCTCCGATGATTACGGATAAATGACGTCTATCTCCCAAGATACAATGATCTACACAGATTGTAGTAGCACTCCAAACAATCTGTACGGCGAACTAGAACATGTGTTCTATGCTCTCAAAATTTTCTTTAGAAAACTAGTATGAAGAATATATGTATGCAAGAGAGCAAAATTGAATGAAACAAGAAAATTTCAGATGTAGAAATTTGCTGGAATGATACAGTATTTATAGGTTTGAAATAAGAACCGAACATGTTCAATTCAAGTTGAACAGATACATAATTTAAACTGAACATGTGCGGTGCAGATTTTTCAAATCTTTTTGATTTGCTGGAAAATGTGGAAGGAAATTTTGGACCAGAAGAGGCACAATTTTGGAGAGAAAATTTAAATTCAAATTTGGCGCAAAATTTGAATTAATTTCGTTAGAAATTCAAATAATTTTTCCGCAAGAATTTTGGGAAAAAATTCAAGTAAATTAAGGGGGATGTGGTGATAAACCCGTCACTGTCTAATTTGTCTTTCAAAAGGATAAGAATTATATAGGTACTTTCAAAACCCCTTAATATTTTAAAACTTGTTTCTTTTACTATGTTACTTTCATATCTGTCAGCTCTTCTATTAAGCCATCCTCACAGTGTATTTTAGAGTAAAATTTTATTTTGAATCATAGTAAACTTTACTCTGAATTAGAGTAAAGTTTATTATGATTCAAAATAAAATTTTATATCATTAAGCAAATCAACATGTTTTTAACCAGAGTAAAATTTTACTTTGAATCATAGTAAACTTTACTCTGATTTAGAGTAAAATGTTACTCTGAAAGTACAATTTTACTCTGAATCAGAGTAAAGTTTAGTATGATTCAAAGTAAAATTTTATATTGTTAAACAAATCAACATGTTTTTAACAAGAGTAAAATTTTACTGTTACAAAAAATAAAATACATACTAAATGAATGAACCATAGTCAAATTTTACTCTAAGATCTATTAACAAAAAAAAAAAAACAAGCTAATTGGAAACAACAAGGCGACATCTACAACTCAGATTTATGTTCTCCATATCTATTACAATTTGTCTCATTTTCATCAACATCAACACAAGAAAAAAAAGAAGAAAAAAAAGAGAGAGTATCTGTTGCAATATTCATCATCATCAACAGCAACAAAAAATGATCTAAACTTACATAATAATAATAATTAAAAAAAAGAACTTGAGAAGATCGAAAATAAACAGATCAAATTTTTGAACAAATCACAACCTTTTATCTATACAAATAGTATGATTGAACACCAAACAAAACTGTGAGACCAGATTCGGAAGACCGGAAGCTCCCAAGCACAATCTCCCTTTCCAACTTCTTTTCTTCACTTTTTCCATTGGAGATCACATTGCAACAATCAACCACCATAGGTGGCAGAGGATCTTTAATCTATAATAATTATAGAAAACTTGCTCAAATCCACCATTAATGGAAAACAATTTCAAATCTCGAACCCTAAATTCTCAATTTCTTTAGAAATCAACATTCTAATAACAAACCCTAACCCTAGCTCGATTATTTAAAACCCTAATTTCAATAAAATCACAATCAAACATGAAGAACAATACCTTATTATGCATCAAAATTGCGAATAACAAAGGTAAGGAGGAGAGAGAGTAAGTTCTTTACGAGGGCAGTGGGTGAGGTCAGCCGCTCTCGTAGTCGTCGGCCACGGTGGCGGAGAGGCCTGCGAGGTCGTCGGCGTCGATTTTTCTACCAGATCTGGTCACTTCGACCAGATCTCCTTTGAAACCCTAGCCATGGCATCATCGTCTATGTATAAGCAATAGTTGTATCAGACGAAGCTTGAGAGATTGAAATGGTGATTAGGGAAGATTTAGTTGATGGTATAATAGTCTAATAAAATATTTAAATAATAAATTTTGTCATTTCTACAAGACTTTATAATTATGAGGGAGTTTTAAAAGTATAATTTTTTTCTTAATTCTTTTAACAATAAAAGGAAGATAAGAGGAGTTTATAGCCAAATTTCCTACATCGATTAAAAGAGGTCAAAGCTATCAAATGGAATCGCAATGAAGTTATGACTAAGGAGTACCCTTTATCCAGAAGAAGAAAGAGAAGCAAAAATTACGCATCAAAAAGAACAAAAGGAAGGACAGATATGCGAGAGAAAGTTCCATGTATGTCTAAAAGAATTAAGAAAAGAAAAAAAAAAAAAAACAGATATCAAACAAAAATTATCCGTTAGCTGAATTGCTTTCTGACTGACAACCCTTCTATTCTAATTGTTAACAATACCCAACAAACAGTTTAAACCCAAAAAAAGGAAAAATCAAAAAACAAAAAAAGAAATAAAGAAGAAGAAACATTACAAAATCTCGCATCATGCTGGAATGAATTGGTGAAAACTAAATGGGGAATTATAATTAAATCTATGTAAGGAGAAACATATTAAGCTGGTTTTGGTACAAAGAACATAGATGAATTTTGAGATATGATAATGCTGGTCTACAAGTCCGCTGTTTTAAGGAGTGGCCCAATCCTTCTTGATGTCAAACGTGTAGTTGATCTCCAAGTAGCATTTGTTATCATCGTCAACGAACTGAAAACAAAGACAACGAAACTGGATATCAGTACATTTACGGTTGCAATGCAAATGCAATGTTGTGATAATGTAGTAAAATTTTCATGCATAATTTGGTTTGCATTGCACATGGTACTGTTAGTTTCAGTTGTCAGACTCGTTTATTTTTTATTCAAACTACTTCAATGCAAAGGGGCTGAACTCGGAAAGATAACAAAACCAGGTCTACATCAAGAAATTGGAATACTGTTCAACATAGGCCACTTGCAAAGGAAGGCAAACAACAGAAAGTTTGCTTCACGAATAGATGGGCCATGTGTTCAAGACAGAACAGAGCTTTGTAAGAGGATAAGTGACAAAGTTGGTACTCTTTTGACCTCAAAATCTTCAGATAACAATGAGATATAAAAGGTAAGGCCACATTTACAGTTCAGAAATTACAGGGGCATCTGCAATCCTCTGAAGTTCAGTAGTTAAGCCATAATATAAATCTTGAAAGAGGAGGAAACTAATGGTAAACACATTTGGCTATGGGTCACGCCTAGGGAGGGTTCTGTCTATGAAGCGCTGACACTTCAAAATGGGTGCCGTGTCTCTGTCCGTGTCCACGTGTTGGACATGTCATGTGACGTCTCAATTTTTTTAATTGTTATTTTTTGTAGGACACTTTGGGGATATTTCACAAACACTCGTATCCTGTGTTTGGATACGTCTCAGGACACCTTTATGAGTTTCTTTTTTATAATTTTAGAAAGTTGATTTGGTGTCGAGGGAAAATATACGAAAACAAAAAGGGCGGAAATTGAAAAAATAAAATAAAAAAAAACCCAAATATACATTGATGCATCTTGTATCCCTATGCCCTAAAATTATATTCATATATACATAGCAAATACGTGAGCAATCAACCCACATATCCGTGTCTGTATTTGTGTCTATGCTTCTTAGAATTCATCATTCCTTCTTCATCAAACAAAGCTAGAAAAAGTCTTCCCCATTGTCTTATAAATGAATTTGATCACAATTTGATTTAAAGAAAAATAACTCCAGGTTATTACAATCGATCAATTTGCATTTTTTTAAAAAGGTTATGACTATAGACCAGCCTAGAAGACAAGAAAGCTGTGGGCAAGATTAACTCATGTAACAACCAACTAATCGAAGCAAACTAAGAAACACATACAACTTCAATCATTCAAATTGGGGAAAACGTAGACTCACCTTGCCATTAGTCAGCGGAGAGGAGGGATATGTATTCTGAGGTTTTTTTATATCATTATCAGATGAACAATCAGAACACATGAAGTGATCTAACATTTTTGCTTGTTCAATGGTCATGTTCACACAAGCAGGATGATACCTACAAGAAACCACATTATACAACATATAATACACTACAAACATACATATAACCAAAAAGAGCATAAGATTGCCATCAGTTAATCCAATCCTGTGGAACAATTGACTTAAAAGCTAAAGCAGCATCAACAATAGCTGTGCATAGAGGTATTTTATAGCTTTATCCACAAACTGAGTTATACTATCACTAGCACTGGCAAACTACATTTTTCATCAACAAATAGCCAAACAATTAACATAAAGTGATGACGGCCCAGGATTAAGCTACATGCATACATTAAAGTGGAAATGAATAAGAAAACAAACAGATCAGCATATGAAAAAGGAGCTAAGAGAAGCCACAAGGAGAACTGGTGCAAATTATCTAGCAATAGACTGATACACAGTCAAATCATCTCTTCATATTCTTGTGAATTTTTTATCCTCTTTTCACCTCCATGAGACGTACAATGATAGATCATATTTGGGCATTCATTGGCATTGGAACTCTGTCATCTTTACATAATCTAGTTTAAATGTCAAGAAGAAAGTGACTAAAGATGTTTACTAGATTTTTCTTTTCTTCGAATGTTCGTCTTGATTTTCACACTTACATACAAACTTCTAAAAAAATAGAATACATCAAACAACCTTCATTTACCCTCTTCAAATGATGGAAAATACATTAGAAATTTTAAATTCAATTTGTTTTCAATTATTTGAAAACCAAAAAAGTAAAATGCAACTTGTAAGACCTTCCCTGATAAATGCATACATATTAAATGAAATAAAAGAGCAAGAAGCTCAAATGCCATTTGTGTTAACTAATTCTTTTACAATGGCTTTGTTGATCAGATTTTCTCATCTTTCACACAACAAAACAGATAAAACAAGCCCAAACCTTTTATTTTCTTTCAGTTTCCTCCAGTTTTCCGGTGCCCATGAAAGGGTTATGGAAATTAAACGAATCACAAAATTGTAACAGCAATCCACCATCAACAAGGATCAACAATTGAAAAAAAACAGCCACGTGCACAATGTACATACCAGTCCTTGCACCCCTCACACTGTACCATCAAATCATCTGGGTTATATGGCATTTCACATTTGCAATACCTTCAAAAACAAAACCCAAAAAGCATTGCTTAAGCCACAAACACCATCAACAAAATTTCAATCAAAAAACCAAACATAATAATTTAAAAAATTAAAAAAAAAAAAAAAAAAACACTCACACATCCCAAACTCCAGGCTTTTGTTACATGAAAAGCAGGTAAAAACAATGCATAAGCAGCAGCAAACTTAAATGTTTCTAGATATAGTTGTTATTGTTTATGTTGGTGGGGGTAATAAATGAACAGATAGATATGTAGATACATTAACAATAATAAATAAATAAGTAAATAACTTACATTTGCAAGCCGGAAAGGACAAAACTTTGGCTTTCCTCTTCTTCCATATTTAAGCAAATATGCCCCTTTCTTAAGAGCAGTAATGGCCTGTTGAAAATATCAGCCAAAAACCTATTTAAATACATTCAGCATATTTGCCTCCATGAAAACAGTAATCTAGGTTACAGGTGAAGTGGCAGTAGTAGGGTAAAAACATGGTAAAGAGTTAAAAAGATCTGATTATTCAGGTGATAGGGACGAATACTTCAAACAAATACTCTAGACTGCACATGGTTACTAATTTAGATGACAAAAGTAAATGCGCAGGCAGACGATATTAACAATTTGACATTAACCTTCAAGTAACATTTCCTTATGAGTTATGGTACAATCACACAAGAAAACCCCTTTGGACACCAGTTATTAATACTTTTTCGCAGTGAAATCTTCACTTTCAGTCGTATAAAATCAAAGGAGCCACTACTTGACAAAGACACAAAACAAGTACTGGCAGAAGATTGAGCATTAAAATAATCTGAAACAAATATACAAGTAGGGGTGAAACTTAGGCGGGCTCAACCCGAGTAACCCGAGCCCAACCCGATTCTTTTTAGGATTTGGACAAAATATTTTTAAATTTGGTACGGGCTTGGACAAAAATTCAGAAATCTGAATTAAATTTGGACAAGCTTGGATAAAGATATTAAACAACCCGAGTAACCCGAAACCCGAATTATACATATATAGATATAAAAAAATATTAAATATACATATAAATTATTAGCTATTACATGATATTAAAGTAATTTAGATTATTAAATCATATTGAATATATATTGTATATACAAATAACAAAAAATCTTACTTTTTTTATTCTCACTCATAAATTGTAAAAACTACTATAGTTGCATATCTCTTACATTATATAAATTATTTGTTTTGATGTTATTAATGATTTTCCTTAAAAAAAAATGTAAATAGAGTCAAATTTTAATAATTTAATAATGTAGCTGCTAAAAAAAAAAAACTGAAATTTATTTACAATTCATGCAATTTGGATTTAACTCAGGTCGGGCTCGGCATGCAACCTCAGGTTACAATTCGGGTCTGGGTAGGTCTCAGCACAACTTCGGTTGGGCTTGGACATCCTCCGAACCCGCCCGAGTTACACCCCTATTTACAAGTAAGCATACACATAGAAAGGCATAAATAAAACAAATTTTGTACATATAACATAAAGTGACAATGGAAATAAAGCAACGGGATCATCAAGCATTCAATTTCTGACAAGCTGGTTATGGACAATGAACAACATATGTTTTCATCATATTTTGTTAAGGAATTTATTCAACAATCTATTTGTACAATTAGGCATAAGACAAGGCGTAAAATAGCTAAACTTAAGGACAGAAGGTTCAGGCATGACTTGTTTGCATGAATACTATATTTGCTGTAACAAAATATGCTTGCCAACAAGAAAGAAATATGTAGGATAAATAGAAAACAGCTACAGAAGTAGGTCAAGAGTTACAACCACTAACCACCATGAAGATTAATTCCTATCCTAAAAACAATGAACGGTAACATTGCCAACATCAACAGCTTTAATAATTGTAATTAACACGCACAGAAAATGGTGAACACAAAAGCTACAGAAATTTAGACATATCACTGTGTTTTTGTCTACATTCTGGAAGTGTTCAAGCAAGCCTCCAACTGTGAAGATAAATATAGGGAAA